CAAAGGCTATCAGTTTTTTCCACATCAGTATGATACTAGCTGTTGGTCATATGACTTTTATTGTGTTGAGGTATGTTCCTTCTATGGCCAGTTTTTAAAGGGATTTTTGTCATAAAGGGATGTTGGATTTTATCAAATGCTTTTCAGCATTAGTTGAAATGATGATAAGGTTTTTGTTCTTCATTTTGCTGAAATGACATATCCACTGATTGATCTGCATATGTTGAAACATCCTTGCATAAATCCCAGTTAGTCATGAGAAATGATTTTTTTAATGTGTAGTTCAATTTGATTTGCCATTATTTTGTTGAGGATTTTTACATCAATGTTCATCATGGATATTGTCCTGTAAGTTTTTCTTAGTTTTTTTTCCCCCCCTCCCCCCGCATCGTTGGATTTTGGTATCAGGGTGATACTGGCATGGTAGGATGAGTTTGGAAGTATTCCCTCCTCCTGTTTTTGAGAATAGTTTAAGTAGAATTAGTATTAGTTCTTCTTTAAATATTTAATAAAATTTAGCAGTGAAGCCATTGGGTCCTGGGCTTTTCTTCACTGGGAAATATTTCATTACAGCTTCAATCTTGTGACTTAAAAAAAAAATACTTTATTGTGTTTTAGGGCCTTCAGATAATTTCTTATTTTTTATTAATGTCCTTTTCTTTCACATTGAGGAACTCCCTTTAGCATTTCTTGTAGGACAGTTCTGGTGTTGATGAAATCTCTCAGCTTTTGTTTGTCTGGGAAAGTCTTAAATTCTCCTTCATGTTTGAATAACATTTTTACCAGATATACTATTCTACAATAAAAGCTCTTTTTCCATTGGCAGTTTAATATGATCACTCTCTCCTGGCCTATAAGGCTTCCGCTAAGAAGTCTGCTGCCAGGCATATTGAAATTCCAGTATATGTTATTTGTTTCTTTTCTCTGCCTGCTTTTTAGAATCCTTTCTTTATTCTTGACATTTGGGTGTTTGATTATTGAAAGTCTTGAGTTAGTGTTATTTGGGTTAAATCTGCTTAGTGTTCTATAACCTTTCTCTAGGTTTGGGGAGTTCTCTGATATTATCCCTTTGACTAAACCTTGCCCTTATCTCTCTCTCTACTTCCTCTTCAAGGCCTAGAACTCTTAGATTTGTCATTTTGAAGCTATTTTTCAGATAGCATAGGCATACTTTCATTCTCTTCTATTCTTCTTTATTTTATCTCCTATAATGGTGTATTTTCAAATAGCCTGCCTTCAGGCTCACTAATTCTTTCTTCTGCTTGATTAATTTCACTATTAACAGACTCTACTGCATTCTTTAGTATTTCAGTTGCAGTTTTTAAACTCCATAATTTCTACTTGATTCTTTTATTTCAATCTCTTTGTTAAATTTATCTGGTAGGATTCTGAATTCTTCTGTGTTACGTTGAATTTCCTTGAGTTTCCTCAAAATAGCCATTTTGAATTATGTGTCTGAAAGGGCACATATCTCTGTCTGTTGGGGATTAGTCACTGGTGATTTACGTAGTTCATTTGGTGAGATCATATTTCCTGAATGGTCTTGATGCTCGTGGATGTTCATTGGTGTCTGGGCTTGTTTGCACCCTTCCTTCCTGGGAAGGCTTTCTAGGTATTCCAAGGAACTTGAGTGTTGTGATTTAGATTTTGGTGAATGCAGCTGTATTTGCCTTAGGGGGTACCCCAAGCCTGGTAACACTGTGGCTCCTGCAAACTTGAAGAGATACCACCCTACGGTCTTGGAGAAAATCTAGAAGAATTCTCTGGATTATCAGGCACAGACTCTTATTCTCTTCCTTTTCTTTCTCCAAACAAACAGTCTCTGTCTCCTTTCTCTTTCTCTCTCCCTCTCTCTGTTTGTGTGTGCTGGGCTGCCTGGAGTTGGAAGAAGGGTAACACAAGTACCCCTGTGGCCACCACCACTGAGACTGTGTTGGGTTAGATATGAAGCCAGAACAGCACCGGGTGTCACAAAAGGCCTGTGGCAACCACTGTCTGGCTACCACCTATGTTCACTCAAGGCCGGCAGGCAGCAAAGCCAGCCAGACTTGTATCCTTTACTTCAGGGTGCCAAGTATCCACCGTTCCTGGGCAGGTCCAGAGACCTGGGAACCAGGGCCTAGGAATGAGAAACTTTAGGAATCTACCTGGTGCTCTGTTCTACTGCAGCTGAGACGGCACCCAAGCCCAAGGCAATGTTTCTCCCACTCTTCCCTCTCCTTTCCTCAAGCAGAGGTGTCTCTCCCCGTGGCCACAATTGCCCCAGGCCCATGATGAATACTGCCTGGCTACTGCTGATGTTTATGGGAGGATCAAGGGCTCTTGAGTCAGCCTATGAATGCTGCCCAACATAGGGCTCTCCTTTCAAATCAGTGGGCTCCACTATGGCCCAGGGTAGGTCCAGAAATGTCATCCAAGAGCCAAACCCTGTAACTGGGGACCCCAAGTGCCCACTTGGTTCTCTACCCCACTGTGGCTACACTAGTACCTAAGCTTCAAGACAAAGTCCCCTTTACCCTTCCTCCTACTTTTCTCAAGCAGAAGGAGCCCCTTCCCATAGCCACTACAGCTGGAAAGGTGCTTGGTGACATCCGAAGCCAGCATGTCTCTTAGTCTCACCCAAGGCCAATGGCAAGTACTGCCTTGGTTCTACTGCAAATTATTCAGGAACCTAGGGCTCTATAGTCAGTAGGTGATGAATGCTGCCAGGACTGGGTCCCTCCCTTCAAAGCAATGGGTTCCCTTCTGGCTCAAGGTGCCTAGAAATATCGTCCAGGAGCTAGGGCCTGAAACGGGGGACTCAGGACTCTGTCTTGTGCCCTATCCTGCTGTGGTTGAGCTGATATCCAAGTTGCAATACACAGCCTTGTTTACTCTTCCTGCTCCTCTCTTCGAGCAAAGGAAAAGAGTCTCTTTCAAAGCTGTAAGCTGTGAGGCCTGGTGATGCAAGCATCATCTCTTGGCTGCCCCAGCTGCTGTCTTACTAGCTCATATGCCCCCCGCCAAGTCCACTGGCTTCAAGCCAAGCCCAGCACAGCATCAGGAGTTCCCCTAGAATTGCAGTCCTTGTGTCCTAGACTGATTTTCAAGTTGTTTAGAAACCCAGAGCACTTTAACCCACAGTTGCGAGTCTTTCTGGAACTCAGGTTCTCACCAATGGGATGTATAATTCTTTTTTGGCAAGGGCTGGTCTAGATGCTCCCTCTGTGGGTGCTGGCTGAGTTCTGCAGCTGTGCTGGTACCCAAGCTGGTGTTGTTTCCACCGTGACAGCCCAGCACTGGGTTCCAACGCAAAGTCCCACAATGGCTGCACTCTCCCTCCCACAAGTGCAGAGATTCTCTCTGTGCCATGTGGCAGCTGTTAGGTGATGAGGTAAGGATGGTGTCAGCAATTCAAGACCGTCTTTTCTACCTTCTTCAGTGCCTCTTTCAGTGATGCGAAGTTAAAACCAGGTATTGTGATCATTCATCAGAGTTTTGGTTGTTATGAGGGTGATTTGTGTGTGTGTGGATAGTTGTTCAACCTGGTGTTCCTGCAGGGAAGATGATAATCAGTGGAGCCTTCTGTTCAGTCATCTTGCTTCATCTCCCTTGGTAATCTCACATTTTATGAGTGTTAAGTACTTTGAGTTCACTGTGCTTTTAAATTTTGTTTTACTTCTGGCTGCTTAAAAATTTCCCCCTTCTCTGGCTGGGCGTGGTGGCTCAGGCCTGTAATCCCAGCACTTTGGGAGGCTGAGGCAGGTGGATCATGAGGTCAGGGATTCAAACCCAGCTGGCCAACATAGTGAAACCCTGTCTCTACCAAAAATACAAAACTCAGCGGGGTGTGGTGGCACATGCCTGTAGACCCAGCTATTCAGGAGGCTGAGGCAGGAGAATGACTTGAACCCGGGAGGCAGAGGTTATAGTGAGCTGAGCCTGCACCATTGCACTCCAGCCTGGGGGCCAAGAGTGTCTTCATCTCAACAACAACAAAACAAACAAACAAACAAAACCTCCCCCATCTCTTGAAACCAGTGATGCAAAACAGATATAATTTAAGCAGGACCCAATTGTTTTGAAACAGGAAGACCTCTCAAACATCTAGCCTCAAGCATTTAGCAAGGAAGTTCTACATATCATTTTTCACCTATTGCAATCTGGCTCACTACATGTCTGAAACTACTTATGCCGAATCACTCAATGTTTTTGTTGTTGCCAAATTTAACATGCACTTTTAACTTCTTTTCATATGTGAGCCCCTGCAGTCCCAAATGCTCCCTTTCTCTTGAAACCCTCTCATTCTTTTGATTGTGTGATACAGTTATCTCCTAAATATTCTCCTATCTTGCTGGCTGTGCATTTTTAGCCTTCTTGGTGAGGTCCTTTTAACCTTTCTACACATAGTGATGGCCTCAGAAATCTATCTGCGGCTTTCTTGCTTTCTTCACTTTCTACTTTGTATACTTTCCTGCAATAATTTCATCGACTGCCATGGCTCAGTACCCTGAATTCCCCCACCGTGTCTTGCGCTTCCAAGCTTTTGTACATTCTTCTCCCTCTGTTTGGACTGTGTCCTCTCAAACTTTCAAAAACCAGATTAGCTAACAAGTCTTTCTAAGAAAGACCCAACTCAGGTCTGTTCTCCTCCAAGATGCCTTTGCTGACAACACCTAATCTGCATGCTCCCAGAGCACCTTGTATCTACCTCTGCCATTGCATTTTATACACTATATTGTAATCATGTGTTTACTGATCTGTCCTCCTGACATAGTTATGCTGTACCCTCAGTGTCTAGCACAGGCCTAGTCAATGGTAGATAAACACATGTTTTTTGAATAAAGAAAAGAACACCTGAATAAGTAAATGAATGAATGAATAAGTGATTTTGGAATGGGTAATTTGGGGTTTGGAAAGAGGGTAAAAGGTGGTGAAAGAAGAGGAGAAGAAAAAAGGGAAATGACTGGTATATTTAAGCAGCTTGTTTTGTTACCCTTGTATGTGGAATAAAGTTATCATTTCATTTTGTCAAAAGTTTATTGAGCATCCAGTATGTGCTAGGCACTCTGCTAGATGCTAGGAATACAAAGATGAAGATCAAAACAACACAAAAACGAACAAAAAAAACCCCACTTCTGTACTTACCCCTCCCTACCCCCATTTTAAGGCAGATTTGGCTTAAGCCTGGGAAGCTGGCCCCTCAGGGATTCAGCACCAGGGAATGGCATGCTCTCATCTCATCCTAACCGTCACCTGTGCATCTCAAGGTTGACCAGCAGGTACTCCTCCTCCAAGTCCTGCCTCTTCCACTTTCCTGAGAAACTTTCCCCTACATGCATTATCTCATTATGGATGAGGCACCTGGGAAGTTTAGGGGAGCTGCAAAGGCACACCTGCTCAAATGAGCCTGGGGACGTGCCTAGGGACAGGGAGCTGAGAGAGGCATGCTGTTGGGGTCAGGGCAGAGGGGGCAAACTAGAAATGTCAGTGCCTTTGGGCTGAGACAAAAATGTGCCCTGGTGTGGAGGTGATGAGTAATGGGGGTCTTGGAATTGCTCCATGGAATGCTGGAGAATCAGCTCTGGAGTTTAGGAGGTTGGGGAGGGGCCAGGGATGCAAGGACCCTTGGAGGCATTCAGGAGGAGAGGATGGAATACACAGAGGGCCCCCTTCTCTTTCAGCTTTTTAATTGCCCTCTCTCCTCACACAGTAGATTACTGCTCCTCCTATGAACTGTTCAATAGGTGGTGGCATGGGCACAGCCTGGCTACACAGTGGCTGGGCCTCTTTATTCTTATGTTAGTGTGATTAGGGAGTCTGCCCTTGTTCTGTTCCCTGGGATCTGAGCATGTGGGAGCAGGGCAGATAGGTGGCAGGAGGCCAGGGGTTGGATCATGTTTCCCTGAAATGCTGGGAAGCAATAAGCCTCCTCCTCCCCCCACCATTTCTCTGGAGATTAGGACTTATTCTCACAGCTGGAGGAAGCTCAACAACCTTCCTGAGGACAATGATTGTTTGAAAGGCTTATTTTGTAAGGAAGCCAGGATGAAGATATGAGTTTGATGAGCTAAAACAATTCCTCACTTGGTCAGAATTTCTGAGCCAGGGGACTAAGTGGAATTCACTTCTCTAAACGAATAAGCCCATCCAACTCTTTTACTCAGGAACAGACAGAAAGAATGCTTGGCATGGCATGCCTCTGAAGGAGGCTCTAGGAGGAGGCCAAGCTGGCAGGCTCTAGTTCTTTGCCCTTGCTAGGGCCCAGGTCAGAGGGAAAAGAAATGAGCTGGGCGCAGTGGCTCACACCTGTAATCCCAGCACTTTGGGAGGCCGAGGCTGGTGGATCATGAGGTCAGGAGATCAAGACGATCCTGGCCAAAATGGTGAAATCCTGTCACCACTAAAAATACAAAACTTAGCAGGGTGTGGTGGCCGGTGCCTGTTGTCCCAGCTGCCTGGGAGACTGAGGCAGGAGAATTGCTTGAACCCAGGAGGTGGAGTGTGCAGTGAGCAAGGATGGCACCACTTGCACTCCAACCTAGAAGACAGAGCGAGGTTCTGTCTCAAAGCAAACAAAAAAGAGAAATGTACTTGTACCCTTCCCTCACCAACTTGTAGGTTCCCAGGTACCAGGTGCCCAGGCAAAAAGTCTTTCACAATGATCCCCCAGCTCAGAACAGCCCCTGCACACCCAGAAGCCAGATGCCTTCTCCTTAGCTTAGTACAGCTATTAATTTCGGGAAAGTGGCCTCTCTAATCTGAACTTCCCCCCAAAAACGTGCCCCAGAACTCAGACATTTGTTCAGAGGGACGGGTGATGAGTGGGAAACCTCATAGCTCCCTGGGAAGAGCACAGGATAGTCACGGGGGTTAGGTTATTGATGTTAGTTTCCATAAAACCCTTTCGGGTACTGGGCCAGAAATTTAATAATCTATGTGGTTCTAAGAGGGCACAACCTATACCAACTGAGAACACAGCCAGTAAACCGGAAGCAGAAGCGACCTGGTTTCACCCCGTCTACACTGCCGCGCACTCGCCTCCGTCTGCGCATGCTCACATACGTCCACACCCGAGACACCAGCGCCCGGCCGGGACCTCCCCTCGCCCCCAGCGCACCGCCCCCCGGCTTCCCAGCCCTCCCCCAGGCCGCCGGCCGCAGACCGCAGGCGCCTCGCAGGGGGTCCCGAGGAGGCTCAGGCGCTGATCTCCACCGGGCCGGCCTCATCCTGTTCCCGGATTATGTGCACGCCCGCAGTCCGCAGTGTGCGCGAGGCGCTGCGCGAGCGGCCGGGCGAGCTCGGGGCCCTAGGGGGCGACGTGTGCGTCCGGCCGGTGGCGGGGGAGCGCGCTGGGGAGCGTGGGTAGCGGCGGGCGGAGCGGATGGGCAGCCCCGGCGAGCGGCCGGGCACGGCGGGAGACACGGAGTAGCCGGGTGGGCCGGGCTCTGTCGCACTTCGAGGCTCCGGGGCTGGATTCTCCTCGGGCTCCGGGGAGTCCTGCAAGGACACGCCCCGCAGGGGTCAGGGGACAGTCCGCCCAGCCTGGGAGCGCGCCTGGTGTCGGAGCTCGCTGGAATTCCGAGGGGAGGCGCCCGGTTCCCTCTGCACGCCCCCCTCCTGGAAGGGGCAGACAGAAGTCTGGTTTTTCTGGAATTATGCCACACTGAGCATGGGGCCTCCTGGCACGTAATAGGTGTTAAGTAGATGTTGAAATGCGATTTTTGAGTGCTTTTCCCCTTTACTCTCCTCTTTCCACTGGTCATGGACAGCCTGGGACAGAATCAGTTGTGGAATAGGGTGGAAATCACCAGAACTGGTGTCCAAAGACCTAGGTTTCAAACTTAGATATGGCACTCATTCACTTGTTTGATCCCGAGCAAGTCATTTAATCTCACAGCCTTGTTTTTCTAATCTCTAAAATGGTCATGACACATATTTCACAGGGTTACTCTGAGTACTATAAAACAGGGGTCTCCAGCCCACAGGCCAAGGGCTGGTACGGGACTATGGCCTGTTAGGAACGTAACGGCAGAGCAGCAGGTGAGCAGTAGGCCCGAGAGCAAAACTTCCTATGTATTTACGGCCGCTCTCCATCGCTTGCATTATCGCCTGAGCTCCACCTCCTGTCAGATTAGTGGCCGCACTCGGTTCTCATAGGAGCACGAATCCTATTGTGAACTGCACATGCGGGGGATCTAGGTTGCATGCTCCTTAGGAGAATCCAATGCCTGATAATCTGAGGTGGAACAGTTTCATCCTGAAACGACCCCCACCACCATCCATGGAAAAATTTTCTTCCATAAAACCGGCCCCTGATGCCAAAAAGGTTGGGGACTGCTGCTATAAAGGGATAGGATTATGGTATGGCTCTCTAGCACCAGGCATATGGGAGGGGCTCACTGTATGTTTCTGGGCACCCAGCCCAGAGCTGCTCACCTTGTCCTTCAGGATATAGAGTGCCATGGGGTTCTTCCGTTCCTGCTCACCACTTCGAGGGAGGGTGTCTGCTGCACATAGGAGAGAATGGGGTGGCTGGCTCAGGTACAGACTCTCCATACCAGCTGGCACCTACTCTCTTGTTCCCTAACTGGCCTGCCACAGCCTCCACCAACATATCTGAATATCTTGTCTACTACCTTGGCCAAACCTCTCCCACCTCTGCAGTCTTTGTGCAGTTGGTGGAGGAAGGGGCCCTGAAGAGCTGTTCTGCAGTCACCCAGTTCTGTCTTTTCCCAGCAGCCCACTGACACTCAGTGTCGATGGGATGGGTGAGTGGGTGGCTGGGAGCTCACCTTCTGGTTTCAGGCGGTCATCATTCTGATCCATGAATTCCAGGGAGTTTTGCTTCTCTAGCTTCTTCTGTTTCCTGTGAATCAATCCAGCCCCACCATGAGCCAAACTATTGAATGTGAGAAGGAGAAGATCTAATGGGGACACAGGGAAGAATCTGATGGCCATAAAAGAGGGCTCGTGACAGGAAGATGTGCTGGGTACAGTACATGAGCTTTGGAATGAGCCACATCTAGGTTTGCACCTTAAGTCTGCCACTAGCATTGTGACTGTGGGCAAGTCATTTAACCAATCCAAGTCTCATTATCTGTAAACTGCAGATAATCAAAAGGTAGCAGGCTAACCACAGCCACAGTACCTGGCCCCAAAATGGGTGCTTGGCAAGTGAAAAACTACTGTTAGTGGTGCTAGGGTTGTGGGGCTTGGAGCACAGGATGCTGTTGCACACACAATGGTAGACTGGATCTCTGGGGAAGAGATGCAGAGCCCTGGGAGGAAAGGCATGTAAAGAGACTCAAGATAGGGTTTAAGTTTGGGAAGGATTGAAGGACTCAGGTGCTCAGGAGAGTTACCCAGACCTTTTGGAGGGTTTCCAGCAGGCACAGACTGTCACCAAGGTCACAAGGAGGAAGATGCCTCCTGTAGATAAGATGATGTAAAGGGAGCTTCTTCCTAGGGAGAGAGAGAAGCAGAGGCAGGAGAAACTTCAAAGGGGCAAGGTGTGGTGAGCAGAGCTTCCTGCCATGGAAGGAAGAGAAGGGGAGCCCCAGGCCACATGCCTGGCTGATGCTGGTGGTGGAGCTTGCACAGAACCCACTGCCTACCTCTTACCTACCACTGCCTACCGGATACGGTCTTGGTGTCCTCCATGGACAGTTTGTCCATCGCTGTCCCCTTCCCCCCAGTGACACTCTTTGGGATGTCCTCAGTCTCTCATGGTCACCTGCCTCTTGGGGCTTTAAGTACTTAAGGAAAGCCTGCAGGGAAACTCACTGTATACGGTGATCTTGATGGGCAGGCTGCGGCCCTGGCTGATGGGGTTCTCCACCACGCAGCTGTACAGGTCGTCGTCCTCCATGAGCACGCGCGTGATGGTGAGCACCTTTTGGTCAGGGGACAGGAGCATTCTCGAGTCATTGAGGAGGGGCTTGCCATCCTTCAGCCAGGTGTAGCTGGGCTTGGTGCCATTCTCGTGCGAGCAGTTCAAGGTGAAGGCCTCACTGAGCTCCAGCACAGTGGTTGAAGCCACCAACACCTGCGGCCTTGAAATGGGCACTGAGCCGCAGGAATGGGGGAGCCTGTGAGTCATTGGCTAAGAAATGTCCCCCTTCCCCTTTTTGGCTCACTGCCTTCCAGCACACCTTTAACACTGCCTTCCAACTCAATCTGTGGGCTGAGAAGACTTCAGGCATCCTAAATCCAGTCCTTTCCCATCATTTATTCATTCGTTTCACCAACTATTTGTGGAGCACTAACTAGTTGCAGTGGGTAAATTCTGAACAAGGCACACATGGTGTTGCCCTCGTTTGCTCTTTCCAAATGCCTTCCCAAGACCACTGGGCTTTAATGTCTTAAACTGACCCAGCCAGGAAGATATTTTAGTTGGGCTAAGCATAGGTCCAAGTGTTTAGGTTAAAATCTTGGCTCTGTCATTTCTAGCTGTGTGATCTTGGGCAAGTTATTCAACCTTTCAGTGGCTCATTTCCTCATCAGTGAAATGGGGATAATGATATTAACTATCTCCTGATTTAATGAGTCAACATATGCAAAGCACTTAGAATAGTTTCTGGCACATGGCAATCACGCTACATGATTAGCTGTGCTGTGCCTGTCTGCGAACTTCTAGTGTCCACTAGCCTCAGTCTCAGCTCCCAAGTGCCTTTTGGGTTGGTTTTCCCTTGGTCTAGTTGGTGCGCTGGGCAGACCCTTCCCCAGTCCCACCTGCCAGTCTTGCCTCTTTCCCTGCCAGAACACTTTACCATCTACAGTAAGGTTGATAGTCTTCTCCCCAGTGAAGGTGTCATCGGTGATGGAGATCTCGACCTCATAGGTGCCTTCATCAGCCAGCTGCAGGTCGCTGAGAAGCAGGGAGCCATTTTCGAAGAGCCGGATACGGTCTCGATAGTCAGGCCGCAAGGTGCCGATGATCTCCGTGCCAATGGACTGCACCACGGTCACTGGCTTGTCACGCTTCAGCTGCCACTTCACTACAGGCTTGTCGCTGCTGGTACTGCTGTACTGCACAGAAAGCAGAGCCGACTTCCCCACGGTGCCGTGGATGAGGCGCACAGGGCTGGTAATGTTAACCCCCTCCAGGGGGTCTGTGAACAGAGACCCATGAGGAAGAGGGCAGCATCAGGCCCTGGGCTCTTTAGCCCACTCCCACCTTTAAGCCCTCTGATCTCCCAAAGCCTTGCCTCTCTGGCTCTTGACTTCCTGCCAATCCTGGCTGCTTATCCCTTGGTGCTATTTCTTCCTCCATGGTAGCTCTGTGCACCTCTGCCCCTGTGTTCTCCCTCACAGTCATTCCATGACCCTCAATCCTTCTTCCACCTGGCCCTCTGCCTCTCTGGCACTTTGTCCATTGCCTTCCTCTTGTGGAAGATTCTAGCTCACCCACACCCTACGCAATTCATTGATAAAAATATTTATTGAATATATCCTATATGCCAGACACTTTTCTATGTCTTTAGGATATAGCAATGAGCAAAACCGACAAAAATCCCTGTCTCATCTGAAGCCAATAGTCATTAGACCTCTGGGTGGATTTGTCAGATCTTCTCAATTGGAGATTGGGAGGGTGAGATGGAGAAAGCATGGGAAGATAGGTTCACAAAGAAAGGAGCAGGTCATGAGACAGTGCCAGTAAAGGGAAAGCTTAGGGGCCTGAAGTCAACTTGACTACTTTCTAGTTATACCGAGAGCCTCCCCCATCTTTTCTGTAGATGCATGTAGCATCTCACTAGGCCACTCAGTGAAGAACAGGTCTGCAAGTAGGAAGGTGGTTTTGGGAATTCGCCTGAACTTCAGCCCAATCTGTACCCCTAGAAGAGGGATTTGGGATGGGTAGAACAAAGAGCTTAGAATCAGAAAATCTTTGTCAGACTGGGCTCTAGCTCTTACTGGCTGTGTGGATTTGAGTACATAATCGTTTTAAGGCTCATTCTTCTCCTTTGTAAAATAAGGATGATAATAATAACAAGGCTGGGCACTTGTTATTATAATAACAGCACTTTTAGAGGCCAAGACGGATGGATCACCTGAGGTCAGGAGTTCCAGATGAGCCTGGCTAACATGGTGAAACCCCATCTCTACTAAAAATGCAAAAAATTAGCCGGGCATTGTGGCATGTGTCTGTAGTCCTAGCTACTCTGGAGGCTGAGGCATAAGAATCGCTAGAACCAGGGAGGCAGAGGTTGCAGTGAGCTGAGATAGTGCTGCTGCATTCCAGCCTGGGTGATAGGAAGACTTCATCTCAAAAAAAATAAAAATAAAAACAATGACAACAGCAACTGCCTTATCAAGTTCACAGGATTAGAAAGTACAATATGCATATTAGTCATTGTCATACAGCAGACAGAACACAAAATTGAGCAGAGTTTTGGGCCTTATTATTGATACATGACTTAGGAGGGTGCCATCTCTTTGGAACTCAGATTCCCTATACATAACAGAAGTAGGAGGCTAGAGGTCTCATTGGTTTGTTCCAGCCCTGTAAATCTGGGATTTTACCACTTGTGCAGTGGATGCTATATCCAGAGACACATCTCACATTTCAGAGACCTCTTAGGAGCTTTGAGACCTGAATAGATGCTGTTATTTGGTGTCACCTGGCCTTGTAGAGCAATCCAACCACCTGAAGGAGGGTCTTCTGGAGAGCATGCCGGTTGGGAGGAGGGCTGAGTTTAGCTGAACAGGCACGTACGTGCCAGATTCTCGGCCCTTCTGCACCTCCTGCCGCTTCCTTTGACTGTCATTCACTCTGAAGCTCCCTCTTTCTTTCTCATCCTTATTTCTCACTCTGCTGCTGCTCCCATTCAGTGTTGAGAAAACTGAGCTGTACCTTTTGATTCCATATATCTCTCCTTGTGCTTAGAGGACACAGACCAAACCAAGAGACAATTAAACTAAAAGGTTGGTAGTGAAGATCAAAGCAAATTTTATCTACTGAATAGATTAGCTCCATTTTTGGAACAAGTGATTTGCCAAGTAGTGAGCTCCTCATCTTTGGAAATGGTCAAGGAAAGACCAATGAGCTATTTTTTCACTTTGCTGGGCCTCAGCTTCTTCCTCTGTATAATGAAGAAACAGGACCAGAAGATCTCTAGGGGCCTTCTTAGCTCTGACTTTTTTTTTTTGGACAAGATCTCACTGTGTTACCCAGACTGGAGTGCAGTGGTGCAATCTTGGCTCATTGCAATCTCTGCCTCTCAGGACGTAGCTACCCTCCTACCTCAGCCTTCCAAGTAGCTGGGACCACAGGCATGTGCCACTATGTCCAGCTACTTTATTTATTTATTTATTGAAGAAACAGAGTTGCACCATGTTGCCCAGGTGTCTGGTCTTGAACTCCTGAGCTCTGGCAATCCACCCGTGTTGGCCTCCCAAAGTGCTGGGATTACAGGCATGAGCCACCACACCCGGCCCTAGCTCTGACATTCTATGATCCACTACCTGCCAGAAATGTTAGAATCATAAAACCTTAAAAGTAAAAGAAACTGGCTAGGTGGGGTAGCACACACCTGTAATCCCAGCTACTTGGGAGGCGGAGGCAGGAAAATAACTTGAACCTGGGAAGTGGAGCTTGCAGTGAGCCAAGATAGCACCACTGCACTCCAGGTTGGGCAACTGGGCAACAGAGCAAGACTTCATCTCAAAACAAACAAAAAACAAAAACAAAAACAAAAAGAGCAGCTCTAATGATCAAAACTAAATGTGTGAATATCTGAATATCATATGCTTGCTGTTGAATGAAAATCTTTATTTGGGGCAGGCAAAATGAATAACATAAACTGTTTTCAGACTTTTAAAAATTAACGATACTTTCTTCCCACAAAATCTTAAATAAAAATGGAAAGAAATGAAATATGGTTCCAATTCACGTGCTTTGGTAGAAGAGGTGCTGGGGATGAGTCCTGTCCCCGTCAATAACCCAAGGAGCGACTAGGAATCCCTACTGGCTCCGTGCATCAGACCAAGGTCCATTTGGCCACATGATCCATAAGGTTTCTTTTAATTCTTAATTTCTGTGATTATTTAAATGGGATCTCCTGCCTCTCAACTGCTAGGTCCAAGGCATGGCTTGATTTAGAAAAGCAAACTTTCAAATTTCCCTTTTTAGGCAAATAGGTTTTGGTATGTATAACAAGAGATGGCCCTGAAAAAAGTCATGAGCTTGATTAAAGGCCCTGGAGTGATGATCAAATAGCTGGGGAACATCCACCCCCTTTCTCGAGACCCAGTGTGTAGCAGTGTGCTGTGCATGTGAGGATTACGTATGCAGAGCCACCCTGGAGTTAAGTAAATTGGTGCATAAAAGGAAAATAAATCTCGGGGCCCCCAAACCACTAAGCTAAAGGAAAAAGTCAAGCTGGGAACTGCTTATGGCAAATCTGCCTCTCACTCTATTCAAAGTCACCCGTCTGCTCACTGAGATAAATGCATATCTGATTGCCTCCTATGAAAAGACGAATCAGGAACTCACAAGAATGCAACAGTTTATCTCTTAGTCTCTTATCTGCCTATGACCTGGAAGCCCCCTCCCTACTTAGAGTTGTCCCACCTTTCTGGACCAAACCAACGTTCATCTACATATTTTGATTGATGTCTCATGTCTCCCTAAAATGTGCAAAACCAAACTGTGCTCTGACCACCTTGGGAACATGTCATCAGGACCCTCTGAGGCTGCGTCACGGGCATCCGCAACTTTAGCAAAATAAACTTTGTAAATTTCCTGAGACATGGATCTCCGATAGGGTGCACAGGTGTAATCACCCCAAGCACCAAACTTTGAGGAGTCTCATTTCCTTCTTCTAGGAGTCTGGACAGTGACAACCTCAAAAACAAGTGGAAGGGATTTCTCCTTTCCCCTCTATCTTCTGTGGCCTCCTGGAGCTTCTCTGGCTTCCATGCTCTTCTATCCCATCCAAAGTCCTAGTAGCCTTTTCACGATATATTTCTCCCTGAAGCCTTTCTGCCAATTTAAAGTTGATATTTCTGGATGAAAATGTTGGAGAAGCTATGGCCTATAGATTGCCTGAGGCCTCACCACCCTCTAGATAAGTCCTCTCATCGTGCCTGTGATCATGTATTCACACGTGTTCATAAGTGAATGCAAGAGCTTGACAGCTTGACAGAGCAGTTTGCTGAGCAAACATTGTTTCCCAAAAACTCTAGTCAAAATCATACTCTGTATTAAGTTCAGGTTCCACAACTTTCAAGGGACACAGAGAACTGGGACAGGAGCCAAAGTATGACACAAAAATGAGGATATAGCTCACAACTAAGGTCCAGAGTGGAAATAAAAGGACTAGGACCACTCAACCTTGAGAAACGATTGACTTAATCATTGTCTCTGAGGCATCAGGAGGTAGAAAGTTTCTGTTCCCACCAGAGGCTGAAGGAAAGGAAATTGAGATCTCAGCAAGATGTACCCTATCACCCTCAACAATGTGGAACTGGGGTAGGGTGGTGGCCTCTCCTCAAGTAGGATTTTGAGCTGCTGTGACGCCTGGGAATGTCACACTTTAGGGCATAAGAATGCACCTACAGACAGCCTTGGCTTTTCTTATTAGGGTCTTCCCTTAGAGAAATCACCATCCACTCATTTTTATCTGCTCACTTTGCTGGGTCAAAGTGTCCTTTCACCAGTATTTGTCTTAAATTTACCTTTTAAAAGTGTCAATGGGGGTGGTGCCAAGTGTGTTCTAGGATTTGGTCTATACACACCTTATCTATATTCCCTAACACCAAAGACTTCTGCCATGTTTAGTTTGGGTCTATCTCCACAAAAAATCTCTTCATCCTATGGCCATCATAGATACCCTTCCTTGGGTTTTCTCCAACTGTATTATTTCCTTTTATGGTGTGGTAGCCAGAACTGCATCTAATAATCCAAGGACAGAACACTTCGGTTTCCTGAAAGGAAAACATATTGTTTCTGCTTTTGATTTTCAATATTATTCCTAATTAATGAGGATCTGAGAAAACCACCCCCTTCCTCTGCTGTTACTATATAGGTGCATCACTCATCATATAGATGTTGGGGCTGCTGTGTTGTATTCTTATGTTGCTATCCTGTTGAGGCCCACAAATCATTTGA